AGCCCATACCTTATAGACAAAGCTAATTGGACACAATCCACTGCACTTGACACATCTGAAAACCCCAAATCTGCACAGTGTGTCACCAGAATGATGGATTGCATTTATAATGTTCAAAGTTTTCAAAGTGTCTAACTCTTTAGAGTACACAGCATGAGGATGATATCGCCTGTCTGCCAACTTGTCTTTGACTACAACCAAACCAACGCATATCTACACTTGACTCTTCACCCACACCTCTACACACACACACACACACACACACACACGACTGTAATAATGAGTCAACAACTGGCCCGTGGCTAAGAAAGCTCCGAGCTCTGCATTAGGTTCCACTCCAGTCACCCATAACATAGAGTCCAGCACACCATGCCTCTCCTCCGCGATGACCTTGGGGTCAGGCCAGAATGCCCTCATATAATGAGAGTGCTGTTTGGGGATTTGTTGGACTGTGATAGAGAAAGGGCAAGCACACGCAATGCACCCTGGGTCTTTGTCTGGGTGCTGACGGTATTGACGAGCGCTGATCGATGTTAATTGCTAGACAGAATGGCCATATTGACCAGGCTCCCTGGATGAAGAAGCCTGCAGGCCCAGTCAAAGAGAGAGAGAGAGAGAGATACACAGAGAGAAAGCTGCTGGGCCCAGACCTACAGCAGCTACAGGGGCCCAGACACACACACACACACACACACACACACACACACACACACACACACACACACACACACACACACACACACACACACACACACACGGCTCTTATTCACTTTAATGAGTCGAGAGAGGAACACAAAGGCATAACGTCCATCAATGCCAAGTCTATTCAGCACAACAGAGGGTATATGCAAAAAATATGTGTCCTGGTGTGTGCCTCTTTGTGTGTGTTTGTGCACATGTGAGTACACGCACGTGTGCTTTTATAAATCATGTGTGTGGCAAAGTTGGTCTGCATCAAAGTAAGACGGTTTCTGAGCATGGGGAAACGGGAAGGGGACATTCATGTATGTGAGGATGTGTGTGTGTGTGTGTGTGTGTGTATGTGTGTGTGTTAGCTAAGGATCAATAGGCAGGAGCTGCAGAGGCAAAGACATGGGCAATCAATATGCTGGCTGCAAACAGAGGGAGGGACAGAGTGAGCAGATAAAAAACAGCCGTGGAGATTAAAGAGACAGATAGGGAGGACAGAAAATGTATGAGAGAAAGAGTGATGTGACAGAAGGAGAGGGAGAGAGGAAAAAAAAGGCCTGGTTTGTTTTATCTCAGTTTTCCTTAACTTTATCTTGTTTTGAGGTTACTGTAAGGGTAAATGTTTATCATTTCTAACTGCGTTGCATCTAATCCCATCTTTCTTCAAGTACAAACACCTGCCAATCATTTTGTCCATCATCCACTCTACAGACACAGCAAGTAATGAGTCATTTTCAGAAGAACCCACAATGTGAATGTGAAAAATCTGGTAATTTACTGCAGGTATAGCCTTAAGTGAATGGACCTTCAGACTTTCATTTGTCCTTTGTTTTCTTTTTGCACTTCAACCTCAATCTGAGTTCATACTGCTGCGCCAGATACACTAACTCTTGTTTCCCAGAGGACTCTTTGTGTAACATAAACTTTATGGATTTACAATGGGAGTAAGATCATCTCCGCATCAAGATTCTTTTGGAAAACCTATTGCTATCTACAAATCTGCTACTACTGTTAAAACCAGGCTTTTGTGTCCAGAGTGTGAGTGGAGTTGGGCTCTTCTGCCTGTTCGTTCATACTCCATTGCCATTGTACCAAGATGTGCTAGAGTCCCCTTTCTGAACCCTTCCATCTGGGTTTAAGAGTACCAGACAGGCCCATACCTCACCACCAGAATGTGGTTCAAATCCCTCTCCACAACATTTACACTCGTGTCCCTTGCAGCGGTGCGGTGAGCAGCGAAAAAGCACCCAGACACAGGTGCAAAGACGGAGAGAGCCAGTAGTAGGAAAGAAGGCCAGGGGCTTGTCTATGAAGCATGACTGGAAAGGCATTCAACCACAGTACCTTACCCAGCCCAGCTCAACCCTGTCCAGTCCTAGGTGTGTGTGTGTGTGTGTGTGTGTGTGTGTGTGTGTGTGTGTGTGTGTGTGTGTGTGTGTGTGTGTGTGTGTGTGTGTGTGTGTGTGTGTGTGTGTGTCTTTCTGTTTCTGTTTCTGTGTCCGTGTGCGTGTGCGCGTGTGCGTGTGCGTGTGTGTGTGTGTGTGTGTGTGAGAGAGAGAGAGTGATTTGAAAGTACAATGTTGAAAAGAATAAGCCTACATTTGGAGCCAAGATAACTGTCCCTGATGTATGAGGCCAACCCCCTCCCACCTCTATTATACACACACACACACACACACACACACACAATTTTACTCTTTCCTTCTATTCTTTTTCTCTCCGCTCATTTGTGTGTGTGTGTGTGTGTGTGTGTGTGTGTGTGTGTGTGTGTGTGTGTGTGTGTGTGTGTGTGTGTGTGTGTGAGTGAATGAAAGGTATGGCAGGAGTGTTGTGTTGGCTTGGCTGACCGTCTGCGGTTGTGCGGCGGTGAGAGGGAGTTTTGGGAGCGCAGAGCGGGCGTTGCTGCCGAAATCCCTGAGAAATGTTCGTTTTGGATCCGTGTCCGTGCTTACATACCGCCCTCCCGACTGTCTCTCATTCTCCGTTTCATTTTCCCTCTTAAGGTTTAACTCAAAAGTTATGAAATGGGGAGTCAAAATACATCACTTGAAAGCGCGGCGACTCTGAAGGGTGTGTGAGAGAGCGCGCTGCCCTCCACCCTCCGACCTGAGTCCGGGGCCACTGAGGCTGCAGGGGTGAGGTTATCTTCGGGGGAGATACTGGAGGGCAAGCAGTCCGCTTGGCTTTAAGACAGATGTTCACTTGACTGAGACAGGTGTCTTTGTTTTATGGAGATTTTTTAAGAAATAGAGAAAGTTTTGGCCACTTTCTCTTTCGGTCAGAGACTCTTTGAAGAGCCCAATTCGTTTGTTCTGAAATGCAGTTTACAATAGTTTTCTCTGGAAACATGTGAATTCCTTCCGATACCATGACATCACTCTAATTGTTTCCAATGCGTTTTACTTGTTTGAAGAATTTCCATAAACAAATATTAGTTGAAACAAGACAGAATAACGCAGATAAAAGTCCAAAAGAAAACTGCCTGATTCTGGAAAATTATAGAAACAAGTTGGTTTGCACTGTAAACAAGTGAAATTATCTCACCTCATTACCAGATGTTTTTCACATAGAACGGAACACTTGTTAAAATGGATATTTTTGCAGTGTAAGTTTGGTCGGCATCGCATAGCGACTGACTAATCCCATTTTGATCCAATAAGTGTGCATGTGCGTGTGTGTGAGGGAGAGAGAGAGAAAGGGGAGAGAGAGAGGTGGGAGGGAGTGAGGAGAAGAGAGGAGAGGAGGGAGGGAGGGAGGGAGGGAGGATTGATCCGCGTCTGTTAAAATCTTGTTCTGGTTTTTCTTGGAGTGAGGTCTGTGCCTGCCGACGCGCCTCTCCTGTGCAGCCCCCCTCTCAAGAAGAGCTTTAATGGAAGGAAACCTTGGAATTTTTGAAAGGGAGAAGGATCTGCATAATACCAGTGAAGTGGATAACAACGCACGGCTGGGTTCTTCTTGCGTTCTCTCTTGCCTTTTCTCCTCTGGTGTCTGAATGAAAGAGAAAGGCAGATATAAGGGGAAGAGAAACGGTGCAGGTTCTGGACTGGGAGTCGATCTGTCAGTGTGATTTGGGGTAAACACGTTTTCAGTGCGCCCGTTTTAACTTTTTTATTTCTTCAGAAACTGGCGAACTCGACTCCTCTCCTCTTGCACCGCGGACTTCGTTTTTCTCGCAACGAAGAGACTTTCGTGCCCCCCCCCCCCCCCCCCCCCTTCAGAGAAACTGCTTAAACTTTCTACGTTTAAAAAAATAAATAAAAAGATCAGATTGCATTTTCCCCCTTCAAACATTTTGGAGGTGATGTCATCGTGCTGTGTTTTGGCTGGTATTGTGTCGAGAGGGCGCAGGGAGGACTACTGCAGCCAGGCGGTAACCAGCGGCTGAGGCTAGAGGGGAAGTCCGGAAAATCAGGTGCAAAGTGCGGCTGTCATTTCCTCGCTGTGTCGCGGGTGGCTGAGTCCGCCACCCAGTCACAGCTGTTCCCATCCTCTCCAGCCACCCCTCCCTCCCTCGTCTTTCTTTCCCCTTTATTATCCCCTCCCATTCTCATTCAGCACTCTCCATATACCCCTCTGAGCTGGACCGCTCCAGGACCTTATCACCCTCTTTGTCGGACACTGTTGGTCGGTGTCACCTGAGCCACAGACCCGTTGTGCCAGCGTGGGGCAGCAGACATGACCGAGGCCGCCCTGCATTACCCTGCGCCCGAAGAGCCCCCGTCTCCAGCTCGCCGTCTGCTCCATCAGCCAGCCCAGGTATCCCACCTTCATCAGCTCCTGACCCTGCTCTGCTGGGACTAAACCTGTGTGTCTGTGCCGGGACAAACACTCCGCCACTTTCTTTTATCATCTCACCTACAACAGAATTCATTTTGGAGACCAGAAGCTTGCTGTTGCGCTGAAACGTTACGCATTGGATTACGCAGAAGATTACGCACGCACCGCAGCTGTCCGCGGGGCCGAGCGTCACTCTGAGGGTCAACAAGGTCGATTGGAGTTGGTTATCTGTGACGCGTGAGCGCGCTTTCACCTGTTCCTCTCCTTGTCGGGGACGCGCAGCGTTTAAAGCCCTAACCTTCCCCCTTTGCTCCCCCGCCCATCTGTCTCTCCACCGGTCTGGACAGCTGTTAGAGGTTGCCCGGCGGTCACAGTGGCACACTTACCCTGGCCTCACACCCCACCTTGCCCGCGCCCGCACATTTACCCATACCGGGGGAACCGGGGCACACCGCCGCCGATGCCAACGGGAGTGTCCGCTGACTCTTTGACTCTGCACAACATCCAGCGGATTCAAAACACACAGGGGAACTCTCCGGACTGTCGGACTGGCTCAGACCGAGCGAGGAGACTGTCTCTGGGCCAAGTTCCATAGTGGAGGGGGGAAGCAATGTGGTCCCTTCTTTCCACGCTGACCGTCTTGTAAGTCACTTTTACCACTTCAACATGTAATAATCTTTTTTATGCACTCAGGTTCTGTCTGTTTCCTCAGTTGTTTAAACTAGTTTAATGACAGACCTGGCTACAGAAGAAGATGATGGAGAGGAAGGTTGCAGTCTCTAACGATTACATCACTCCTGATCAGTCCCCATAGAAAACATACCATGGAAGGCCCTGTTTTGATTGGCTGACAGTTCAAGGTCACTGGGTCAGAGTCAGGGCCATGTTACTCATAAAACCTGCCATAAACATCTCCATCACCATCTGTACTTACTTCAGGGATGGCCAAGCTGGCCTAGAGAAGGCCATTTTCCCATCGCCAAGAAAATGCTTTTTTTTCCTATTGAAAATATTTCAGAAGTTGAGTCAAATAACACCGGCTTTATCTAGTGGGATAGGAAAATGATAAAGTGCCAAGAGCAAATCTAAGGGAGGAGGATACAGGCTCAGGGGGTTTGAGTTTGCCCATTCGAGGTGTGTCTTGTTAAAAGCCAAGGGATTTATTTTTCTTTCTTTGTGTCGGCTGTACTTCTCCCAGATGGCAGTCATCTCCAGATACTTCTCATTCCTCACACAACCTGGACAGGGTGTGTGCTGCTGCTGTTGCTGCTGCTGCTGCTGCTGCTGCTGCTGCTGCTGCTGGTGTCTGCCTGGCTGTCTCTCTCCGCCTGTGTCTCCCTCACACTCTCTCCACTTACTCACCTAACTGCCTACATCTGTCTTCCTGTCTTGCCTATACCCCTTCTTTTTCCAAAGATACTTGCTCAGATAAAAAGTATGGATTAATAACTGATGAATGATGGCGCCCCTGGCAGTATCTGAGAAGGAGCAGTCTCACTGTTTAGTCTGCTGGTTTTAGTTTAGGTCTACCAGAGCCAATCATCTCTCATTCATTTCCCTCTTGCCTATCAGTTTTACCACAGCCACTTTACTTCATCCACATGTTGTTTCACCAACTTCATCAGAAGTTTTTAGCCAGAGAGAAAAGCCAAGGGCCTTTTGCCACAACAACCTGTTTCTGCTCCTCTTCTAAAGCCACAGCTTAATGTCGAGGTCTTCCTCATCTCTTACCATTGCTCCAACACAGGCCCTATTACTGCTGATCCCACTCACACACCCACTAGCCTAACCACTATTCTTCACCAAGGCCCACTGCTGAACATCTGAAACTCTTGCACCGTGCCGAAGCCCACTGCTCCACTGTTGGCCTACCACGCTAACCACTGCTACACACAGCTGAAACCGCCGCTCTGTGCTGAGTCCCACCAGGCCGACCGCTCTCACTCCACGCTGGTGCCCAGTCCTCGGTGCTGAGGCCTGCTAGTCTAACCGCAGCCTCCATATGGTAGATCTGCTGGGACGCAGGTTTATGATGTCAGACCCTTGCTTGTTTTGGCAGCCGTCCAAGGCGCACCGGGCTTTCCCTCTCTCCATACCTCCTTCTGTCTTTACTCTCCCCGACTTTTACTCTGCGCTCTCTTATTCTCTCGTTTTCTCATCCCTCCCCCACCCCCTGGCTGATCCTGTCTCCCTCTTTCCTCTCTCCTTCTCTTTCTCTCTGTGGCTGGCATAATATGGAGTGTCGGTGGTTTTTGTGGGAGCGGGGGAATCCAGTGCTGAGGCACTTTTCCTGCAGTGTCCTCGGCGGCAGTGCAGCCGTGGTGTTTTAACAGCTGAGAGTCCTCACAATGCACAGGCGCTCAGGTTTTTTCGGCTGCGCAGGCAAAATGTGAGGGCCAACACTTTACTGCGTTGCCCAGGATGTCTGCATCTATTAGAAGGACTCAGGGGCCAACACACCAGCTATGGGAAAGAAATGTTGTGAAAGAGGGGGGGGGAGAAAGGAAACAAGAGGCTTATGATGGTATATGTGTGTGTGTGTGTGTGTGTGTGTGTGTGTGTGTGTGTGTGTGTGTGTGTGTGTGTGTGTGTGTGTGTGTGTGTGAGTCAGGAGGCAGTGACATATGTTACGATGTGCATGAGTTGAACCCCCTTCCTCTTCTTTCCCATTATTTATCTTTTTGTCTACTTCTCACGCCAGACCACACTCTGTGGTTACACCACTGTCTCTCATTTTGCCACTTTTTCTTCTCCTTTCCTCGAGATGTAACCTTAGTCTTCTTTGACCCTCTCTCCTCTGTCTGTCTCATGTGCATCTGCCCGTTCTTTCTGATTTTATCTCCCACCTCTTTTATTCACTGTCAGCCTTCTCTGGCTTCATCTCCCCTCTGTTTATTCTTATTTCACCTTCCTGTGTCCTGCTTTCTCCTGATCCCTTTGTGTACCTCTCAGTCTACCTCTCTCGCTATCTCCCTCTCTCAGCAGCGCGTATGTCTTTGCTTTGGCCCAGCTGTCAGCTGCTTGCTCCTCCTGTACACACACACACCCTGCACACATCTGCACATCTGTGTGCATGCCCATGACAGTGTGGAGGAGTCATCCTGCTAACCCCAAACATAAAGGAAGATGGGAGCCAGGGAACGATAGGAGAAAGATAGAGTGGACAGAGAGTGAGAGATAAAGTAGAGGAGAGAGGGAGGACAACAAGTCAGAGAAAGACAGTGGAGCAGAGAGAGAGAGAAGAGGCATGCAGAGAGATAGCAAAAGATGAGGTGGGGAAAGACAAAATTCGTAGAATTGCTTTTCAGCCCACACACTTGGTTCTGAACTTCATCAAGTCCTCAGCCACTAATTCAGAGCAGTTCATGGACTGCCAGAGTTGATTTTGCGTAACACAATCACTCCCTTACTAAAGTTGTAAATAACATTTGATATATCCAAGGTCAAGGTCTAAACTTCAATTAAGCAATGTGATAAAGTGAGAAGAATTTTAATTCTAACTGTAACCAGCTGTTTCAATCATAAATGTCTCTAAAGATAGTTAGCAAGAAGAAATACAGAAAATTTTTACATGGACCATACACATGATTTCTGCCTCCTACATCACTGTGATCACTCCTCACCAATTGATTCCTCCACACATTATCTTTCCACACATTTTGTAAGCTCATGTCCTCACTTATTCATAGCATCTCTAAATGTAACCACAGTGCACCCTTGCTCCAAAGCCACATCACAGCAGAGTGTACACCTGTAGTCCAGCCCAGCTGTCTACATACACAGAGCAGCCAAATAAGCCAGCCAGTTTCCCTTAGATGTCCAAACCAAAACATGTTCTAGTTGTCTCGGCATGTTTGCCATTTCGCCACGGTCCAATCAGGTCATTTGGAGGCCAGATTTTGGTGTGGCGAAAGTCATGAACGGGTCAGAAAGTGGGTTTGGACAGAAGGCTGGTAGTGTTACTATAAACAGTGCTTTGGGTGTTGTCTGTCTGCTGATCCCTGGACATGTGCCTGTCTGTATGTCAAGTCGCTGTGCCAGCTGCACACCCAGCAGTGTGAGTAATCACCCAATAAGGAAAAGAGATGTTGAACAGAAAGAACGGCAGAGAAGAAAGAGATGGAAACGATGGTGTCAAGCCCGACTCTTCCAGCATTCAGTGTTGCTTACATATTTCTAAACTCATCTGTTTCTACTTTTTCCAGATGTATCCAGATGTTGCTGGTGATGTGCAATCCATTACAGGTTAGAGTGTGCATGCATGACAAAGAGTGATTGTAAGATAAGTTGTACATCGGTAGTACATGCAATTTTTCGAGCCTGTTCATGACTCTCGGTCTCTGTGTCTCTCTCTCTCTCTCTCTCTCTCTCTCTCTCTCTCTCTCTCTCTCTCTCTCTCTCTCTGTGTGTGTGCCAACCTCTGGGTGTGTTTGTGCATGTGCTCCCAGCAGGTACTTGGTGTGGATGGAGTCAACTTCAGTGTGCATGTGGAGAACCAGACACAGGTGCGAGACACCATGAGTCGGCGACACCACCGGGTCTACCAGCTCTACAGCCGCACCAGCGGTAAACACGTCCAGGTGCTGGGGCGCAGAATCAGTGCCCGGGGAGAAGATGGAGACAAATATGGTAAGACACACACACAGCAGAACACAGGCAAACACTTTGGTGAATGTGTGTATGCACACCGAGAAAGATGCTTACTTGCACACACATGCACGGCTGCAACTACAAAGACTTAAAGGTTGAGCAAGTGCATGCATGAGCGGATACAGAATGCAACTGTGCAGGCACACTCACAAAAGCACACACACATGCCTCCCCAGGCTTTGGCAGAGGGGCAGTGGAGCTTGTCTTGGGAGTACAAAGACCTCATCGACTGGCTGCTGACTCAATGATTCACAAGAGAGCGAAAGAAAGAGAGAGAGAAAGAAAAGGTGTTAGTGGAAAAAAAAGTGAGTTAGAGGGAGAAGCCTAGCAGGTAGAGTGTTGGACCGAGTGTTAGAAACTCATCTCCTTCATCGATCCCTCCATTGATTTCTCATCCTCCCTGTTGTCTCCTCTGGATTTAAAACAGCAGGCTTCCTCTCCCTCCCCTCCCTCCATCCTCTAACACTCCTTCTGTCCATCCCCCTCTCCCTCCCCCTCCTGTCCACCTTCTCCGTCTGTAATGATGTGCAGCCCATTCTTAAACCACACACAGAATCAATGGGCAGAGGAAAGCTAAGCCATAAAGCTAGAGTTCATATTTCTGTATGTGCCCCAGTGGCGGCTCATGTTGCTTGTCCTGTCCATTCACAAACACGTCAGGTTGCTCTTCACACCACTTCAAGCTATAGATGGGATCGTAGATGCAAAAGCCTGCCTGAACACCACTAGAAAAAGATGATAAATCCAACAAAAACTGACCAAATGTAGCGACGAGAGCAGCCAAGAGCAGAGAGAGAAGAAATAAAGCAAAGAAGGGGCAGGTGCATGAAGGTATAAACAAGAAGAGGAAGAGCAGAAGGGAGACGAGAGGAGAGTTGGGGGAAGAGAGAGGAAGAGGGCAAGAGGGAGGGAGGTATTGATTTCTCTTGACCCCTTTGTTGACTAAGGTCATGTAGGAACCATTTTAGGGATTTATTTTTAAACAGGCACAACCGCTGTCTGAAGATGTGCAGTTAGTGGAGCAGTATTGCCTGGAAGGATGAACATGCACACACCTGCACACACAAACACACACAAACACACAGGGATGTATGCGCACACGCACGCACCTTAAAACAACAGTATCGCAGGCACACAGTCTGAGTGTTCTGCCGCTCCTCTCGGCTCACCGTGCTCCGTCTACTCTTGGCTGTTATCTTTTTTACGAGGCCCATTTGTGGTCAGCGGCCTCACATCCACATGTGTGTGACCAGGCTTATCTAACAACCATCTGTCCAACCAGAGACATTTACATCTGTCTGTGATTTATCAGCACATTTAATAGCAACTATGAATCCTAAAACTGTGATTCAATGTGAATGCCTTATCTGGTTTAAAAGCCAAATCTGATTTAATGGTGGCTGGTAATCTGTGCAATTAGGGTTACACTACTTGGCACTGGGTCTGTTAGTGTTAGTGTTGTGTTAGTGCTGTTAATGTGTAAAAAGTTATACTTGAAGGTTGAAACTAAATGATTTCTAAATTTTAGTTACTCTAATCTTTCTACCTGTGATTTGTGTGATACAGCCTTGAAGTCCTTTAAACACAACATACTGTATTTTTCTCTATTGCCTTTGGCTCTAATGTCTGTCTGTCTCTGTGTCTGTCCCTTCACAAGCCCAGCTCGTAGTGGAGGCCGATACCTTTGGTAGCCAGGTGAGAATCCGTGGCAAAGAAACTAATTTCTACCTGTGCATGAACCGCCGCGGCAAGCTGGTAGGAAAGGTGAGACTTCTTTTTTTCTAGAGACATGTTTTACAAAAACATCTATTAATCTTACAGTTTCCTGACCAGCCTCTCTTTGTTTCTTCCAATGTGTGTGTGTGTGTGTGTGTGTGTGTGTGTGTGTGTGTGTGTGTGTGGGTGTGGGTGTGGGTGGGTACCTGTGGTTTCTCTGCTCTCTCAGAAGGCCAGTAATCGAAGCGCCGACTGCGTCTTTGTGGAAAAGGTTCTGGAAAACCACTACACAGCTCTGATGTCAGCGCGCTACACGGGTTGGTATGTGGGCTTCACTAAAAGAGGTCGCCCTCGCCGTGGCCCCCACACACTCCCCAACCAGCAGGACGTGCACTTCATGAAGCGCTTTCCGCCTGGGGAGCAGCCTGACCTCACCACCCCCTTCCGCTTCACCACCGTCAGCAAGCGTGGCAAGAGGGTGCGCGCTACCGGGCCCCGCTAGTAGTGGCTAACGCTAGCACCCACTGTCTCGTCATCCAAAGCCTTGACCTGAGCCTGGCATTGGCTAACCCAGTCATCTCTTCTGTCACACATGACTGAACAACTCCCTTTTATGGGACAAACATTGACCAGAAACTTGATGAATCATTCACGGGGTTTAGCTTTACACCAACTAATTTGCCACTACAGCCCCATAGTTAGTGATCATTCCTCTCAGTTTTAGTTCCCTTACTGGACCAACTGGACCATTACTGGTCTGTGGCTGGAAGCTCTATGGACCTGGTCTGCTTCCCTTCATTGGCCAGAAATACTGACAGGGAACCTGAAGGGCAGCCAGAGTCCCAGGCTCGACAAAGGCCTTTATTCCCCTCACCACAAAAACCACAAGGCCTTCATGTCTCCTTTTCTGGACCAGCTGGACACTGTCAAGTATGGGATTACAACTGGACCATACAGAGAGAACAAGGGTGGGAAAAGCTGACTGAACAAGAGAGTGGGTGCCTAGCCTACGGATAAAGGGAAAACAGGAAGGAGAAGACAAGAAAATGGTCAAGTGGACAAAGGGAGTGATCTTCACAGATCAAATGGACCAATAATGAACTGTTGACATGTGACGCACTTATTTGTCTCACTGCTAAATTGGTGAGAACCTGTGAGACTGTTGGACGAATGGAAGGATGGATGACAAGAGGATGAATGAAGGAATGATCGAGTGAGTGACTTGAATAAATGCATGTTTGTAAGAAGAAGACAAGGACATGTACGTAAGAGTGTGTGTGTGTGTGTGTGTGTGTGTGTGTGTGTGTGTGTGTGTGTGTGCGCGCGCTTGTGTGCGTGAATGAGTGCACCAACAACCATGAGTGAAGCTGGATCACGAGGGACTCTGGAAAGGGACCATGCAGTCCCTGCATGAACCCGTGACAACTCACCGCAGGGACTGAAGCTTTAGGAACTGGAATGTATAAAAACCAAGCTGCACCAAATACAGCCAGCCAATCACAGCAAACCAAACCAACGACCAACCAAAGACAACTGGAGACCTTCTTCATGACTCCTCCCCATGCCCCCCATCCCCACCCCCCCCTTCCCCCAAGGACACATCACCCTCAGCTTATAGGTGCCGAGGGTGACGAGCGCAGGGACGAGCACGGTGGGGAGGGTACCTTCTCTATTAGCATTGCTATAGAAACGACCCAGGGGATGATGCTCCTGTGCGATACCGTGGATACAGAGTGCTGCTACCAGGACATTCAGTGGAACAAACCAAAGTCTCATGCATACACACAGGAGAAAAAATATTAAAGGGAACAATTTATTGAAAGTTATATATATTATATATATAAAAGAAGACAGAAACCCTAAATAAGCAATCTTACTATGATGGTTACTATAATTATTATGATAAAATTATTTCATTTATTTATTTCAGCTCTGTGTGCAGCAGTCTTTCTCGACTCAGTAAACCTTACAGAAACATTTCCTGTGTCTCCAAGCCTTTTTACACTGCTTCCTCAAACTCTTTTCTCTCAACAAGTTGACTGTAGAAAGAGATTCAAGGTCACAGTTGCTCCATATGTGGTTGGATGACTTTACTGCTCAGTTGGTTGATTGACAAAAAATTGATTGGTAACAATTTTCATAATTAAGAGTAGTTTAAGCTATGTAAAAAAAAACAGGAAAGGGAAAAAATGACTACTAATGTGAAGGTTTGACGGTTTTCTCAGCTTGATTTCATTCTGAACTGAATATCTTTGGGTTTTGGAATATTGGTTAAACAAACAAGCAAAATATCACCTTGGACTGGACATAGTGTTAGGCGATGTGATGATTCTGTTTATAGCATGATACAATATAAATCTGGCAACCATCAGAGATTACGTCATGGCAACGTTTGCAGAATTTTTGCATCCATGTACCTTCATGTTTGAGATATTTAATTTACTGGTTAAAACAAGAACAGGCATTGCCCTCTAGTTATTTTATCCATAAACAACTCTTCACTTGAATTTACTGAACATTTACTTCATCACAATAGACATCAATATTTTAATATGAAATTACATTTAACATGATAGTTTTTTAACCATATTGTTCACTCCTAAGAGGCATTTTATATTTTTTGAATTTTTTTTTTGCATTTTATAGATAATGACCGATTAAATAAAAGAAATGATCATGTAAATTACTTACAGCCACAACTGGCTTCAGAATTATTAGAAAACTATATAAGAGATTTAAAAATATTCTCTGGGCAAGTATCAAGGGCCACCAGTAGAAAACTATTCTCTCTTCCTCCTAACAGGTATGAGAGTTACTCTGAAGCTGAACAATTTCCCACAACAATTCATCAAACAAACTGGGGAAAGTTCTTCGAGCAGCAGATTTCTAATAGAGACAAGGCGCAAGTATCTTAAGGCCACAGAAGAACAGATTCTCAAGTTCTTGTCGGTTTGGCTTGAAGTAGTCACTGAAGCTCGAACCTCAGATATTAAATTACATGAAAAATACAAATCTAAGGTGGGCCAGCTTCACTCAGGAACCCCTTCAAATTGCCTAAGAAAACTGTTGAGCCCCAACTGTTGTGCAAAAATTGACAGTGAGCTCCACATTATAAAGTTCAGCAATGAATATGCAGCATGAAGGGTCAGACAGAACAGTGGAAGGGAAACATGCAGTAGCTAGATAGAGTTTCATAGCTGCTTCTTCTCTCATCTATCCTGCTCTTACCCCCCACCCCCCCCACCCCCTTTCCTTCCCTGTCCTAGCAGGAGGTCACTGAAGAGATGTCGCTGCCAAATGACCCAATCATGCCGGCAGACACAAACAGCTGACTCAGGGGGAAAAAAAGGGTTGTACCAGAGGATTCCTATTGCAAGGCAGCAGGAATCTGTGCTGGAGGGGGGGGCTGGTATAAAGAGGAGACAGTGGGGTGGGAGAGAAACGGGGTGTGGGGGTGGGATAAAGAAGACTGAGTAGGGGGTAGCGGTGGTGGTGGGGTGAGTTGTTCATTTCTGGAACGTTGCTCTAGTTCCACTCGGGAATGATGGAAATATCCCGCGTAGCCAAACCCAGAGTGGAAGGTGTATGGTAATCATGTCGGTGAAGGAATGCCAAATATGTGCGTGAGAACGGAGCTGTGACCTGAGAGCTGCAGGAATTATGGGCCAAAATCCCACAGACCCAGAGGAAGCACACACACCCATATCCAACACATACACACATCATATACTAATGGTGCTCCACCAAGCACAAATCCATCCCACATAACTTATTCCCAGAATTTGAAACATTCTACTATACTGAACTAAACCCAGAAATGCACAAAACCAACCCCACCAGCAGGCCAACTCCCCTCCTTCTCCTAGCTGAGAGAATACACACTGCACAATCACCAGGCAGACGTATTACAGAGCTCAAATACACTCGCCTCAGCTTTGCTATAAATGAACCACTTTAAGCATTTCAAACATACATTTCTCCTTCACAGTTATGGTGTTTACAAGACTGAGTATGTGATCTACAGTAACAGGTTGTTTAGACTCCAAACTTGGCAACCAAACAGTCAGAGCCTAGGTCTCATAAACAGATTACACTGAAGAGATAGCTGAGTTCATACTCCCACCTGGTGGCCATTCTTATTACAGTGACCACACAGCACACTTAAACCAACATTTGTTTTTTGTTAAATGACTTGAAGCAACTGTAAAAAAGTAAGTCTTACTTACAGGTGCATAATGTCAAAACTATTGGCACTGAGTTGTAACACATATAATGTGGTTAGAATTGAAACAAGTTTGAGTTTATTATGACTTGGTGGATGCAAAAAGGCCTTTAGTTATTTTACTCTAAACATTTTTTGACTGTCAAAGTTCTGTTACTGTCAAACACTTGTATTTATTAATGCTTAATGTTGACAGTCTAAACTAATTTTACCCAATGACTGAAACACTGTTAATGAAGTGAATATAAGTGATTGACCATTCTGGGTCAATATGTGTGAAAAGTAATGAAAGGCCATTTTGAATCAAGTCAGTTAACTTAGTCTCATCTTTACCCACATACATCTTTCTACTTAACAAAATACTGTAATTTTTCAAGAAACAGTATGTGTATACAACATATAATCTCTTGAGAACAGCTGTGAGCGATTACTTATAGACATTGATTGGACTAAAAGATTTAAAACTACCTACATGTTGCTGTCCATATTGATAAATACAGCTGATAGAACAGGATTGCAGCCACTTCTCACCTACATAGGATCATTTAACACAGAACTGCAGAAAATGTAGTGATCTAAACGGGTGTGTGTTGGGTAGGTACATCCTGGCTTCTAAATCCTGGATATGCTACACATCAGTATATTATGACATGTAAACACCTTATCCAGGCATTCTTTCTTGCTACAAAACGTAATAATATAGTAAGTAATAAAAACGAAATAGTATGCTGAAGCATTAAAATGTGATAGTATAGTAAGTTATAGAAACGTCATGCTAACACCATAGTATAGTAAGTCATAAAAACATAATATTATAGTAAAACATAAACAACGTCATAGTATAGTGAGGCATAAAAACGAAATGGTATATTAATGTATAAACACGGCATAGTATAGTAAGTCATAAAAAAATATAATATAGTAAGGCATAAAAAATGACATAGTATAATAAGGCATAAAAACTCATAATATAAGAAGTCATAAAAACGTCATAATATAGTAAGGTATAAAAATGTGATAGTAATGACATAGTATGGTAAGTCATGAAAATGTCATAGTTAGTAAGCCATAAAAACATCATAGTATACTTAGGCATAAAAAAAGTTATAGTAAGGCAAAAAACGTCAGAGTATAGTAAGTCATGAAAACTTCATAGTGACGACATAGTATAGTAAGTCATAAAAATGTCATAATATAGTAAGGTATAAAAACATGATATTAATGACATAGTATACTAAGGCATAAAAAAGTTATAGTATAGTAAAGTTATAGTATAGTAAACTTCAAAGTATATCAAGAAATAAAAAATGTCATAGTATAGTAAGGCATAAAAGGCGACATAGTATAGTAAGGTATGAAAACGTCATCGTATAGCAAGTCATAGAACTGTCATAGTATATAGTAAGTAATGAAAACGACAAAGTATAGTACGTCATAAAAAACGTCATAATACAGCAAGTCATAAAACTGATATATTATAGTGAGGAAAAAAAAGGTCACATTAT